TCTGCTGACTTTTTAGTTAGTTCAATGGGTGGAATTCACTTATTTGTTTTAATAAGCAGGTACTCATGTCCCTTGCATCTGTAGGTCAACATGCTGTATTGGCAGAAAATCATCTGTGGCCAGCTTCCCCAAAGGACGGCCAGTTTAAGCTTTTCACTACGGCATGTGTGACACCACAGCTACTAATGATTGATATGTGGGGTTTAACGTCCCAAAACCACCATATGATTATGAGAGACGCCACCACAGCTACTAGTGCCGCTTAATAATGCTCTTTCCATACACACTACAAAGTACTGCTACAAGACAAAGCACTTTCTTGTTACACAGCTAAAATGTCTGAAATGGGCAACTGGTTTGCTGCTTCATTTATTGTTATTTTTAATAAGGCAACCTACAGGTGGTGCTTTGTCACAGAATTTCAGCTTTGAAAACCCTATGACCTGGAGTCACAATTTTTCATATGGTACACAATAAAAAATTGCTTGAATTTATGCAAGAGTTACCAGAGTCAAGCTTTAAACTTTATACATATCTTAACTGAAGTGCTTCAGCAAGGTGAACTCCAAGGCATAAATTTTCCATACAGTCACATCATGCAAAAAAAGGGCACAAAACCAAATTAGGTACAAAAATTATTGCGGGCTTTATTAATCCTTAGAATTCTTAGGGGGCTTAGCTTAATGATAGTACTGAAAATAAACTGCCACGAAACAACTGCCATTGCAAAAAAGGTTGTCTGTACCTGATTTTTTGTGTGCAAGCTGCACGGATGAATTCTTTGCTTCTGGAGAAGGGAGTACTGCTTGAAAACATTTTGTCATAGTGCTGTATGAGCTTTGCATATATTGTTGGCACTGCCATATAAACATTGATTCGAGGCCCTCTTGTCGGAGATTCAATGAGATAGTTCCATACCTGTAAAACAGTTGCTGTCTGCTGAGCGAATGTCTACCTGCAGCTTTGATATTAGGCATTCATTGGGCACCATACATAAAGGACTACATAGTAATCTTAAAAACCCAAGGTTTTTTATTGTGAAGCAGCACTTCTTATGGATGCTATACATGTCAACGCAGAGCTCCACATAAATAATGATTATGATCACGTAGGGTTCTTAATCATGCACAGAAATATTAGTGTACAGAAACGTTTGAATTCAACTAACCAAATGATCTGTGCAAATTTCTTTCATGCATATGTGAGGATCAATAACAGCCAAGAGAAAAATGAGTATCTGCACAAGTTTCCAGATTTTTTAGTTGAAGCTAGATTCTTCACAGACCATAAAGTGTAGCGGTTAATCTAAGGACTGTCTACACGTTGAAGAGGCTTCTTGCTGGTAGCCACTGTTATCGGCCACTCTAAAAAATGTTAATCCTGCGGTTTTCACACGTCAAAATTGAAGATGATTCTAAGCCACACCATTGTAGGAGATTCAGGATTAACTCTGACCCTGCGATATTTATTAATATGCACTTAAATGTAGATGCACATTTGTGCACTTGACCCTCATTAAGTTAGGCTGTCTGCCACGGTGTAGTGGTTACGGTGTTCGGCTGCTAATCCAAAGGACGTGGGTATGATCTCAGCTGTGGCAGTTGCATTTCGATGGAATCGAAATGCTAGAGGCCCATGTACTGTGATGTCAGTGCCCATTAAAGAACACTAAAAGGTAAAAATTTTTGGAGCTACTACAGCATGCCTCATAATGATATCCACGTAAAACCACATATTATTAATGAAGCAAGGCTACCCTCATTTCGAATTGAAGCTGCATCCTTATGCTCTGCAGAGCAATACCATAGCTGCTAAGCCACCAAAGAAAATAAGCCACTCCTTGAAGTCCATTAAAACTTTGTTATCCTTAACAAAGCACTGCCTTGAATCATGTAATTCCCTGCAGAATTATATTTGTAAACATACTGGGTCACTACTGAAGATTATGGCCACACGAGTGTACCTTTCTGCACTCACAAAGTTTCTTGGTTTCATTTACGGGCTTCAAGATTTTACCATCTACTTTTTAACACTCACCAGTATCTACATAAGTTCCCCTCCCAATCCTGAAAGTTGCAATCAGCTAAATTTACTTGCTCAACTGTGCAGGTGTTTTTAAAAAATTCTGAACACACCAAAGATAAGATAGTGGGAAGATTCAGAATAGTGTAGATTAGGTATGAACAGCTAATGCTGTAAAACTTGTCATTCCTCTAGTTACAACATTAGACAAGCGACAGGAGCTACAGAGTTTAGAAGCGTTTGCAAGACAAATCATAAAAGCTGCTGTGTTAGGCAACTTTTGAGCTAAACTTTGATCTAGTGGTCAATATATTATACATCCATTATTGCGCCCAACTTGCAACATGGCTGCTGGTGGCTGAACAAGCTCCAAGCCTGCACATGACCTTCACTTTCCCTAATTTCTGCAAATCTAGGGCTGTTTTTTTATACACGATCGCCCACGAATGGTGGTGCACATTCAGTAAGAGAACTGCGGGAAAGTGAACACTATGCACAGTGTTGGAACACATTTGGTCACAAGCTTCCATGTTAAGTCAGATTGAGGGAGACAGTGCATATGTATATTTTAACTGTATATAGACAGAATAGATAGAACATAACACATGACAAATGCAAACATGGATACAACTGCATCCATCCTTTACTGCACAATCCCATCTGCATTAAGATTCATACCAGTCCACTAAAACGTTCAGTGCGCTCAGTGCATATGGAGTGGATCTCGTGCAGAGTGGCGTGTACTCACTGCGTGCAATGCCACAGAAAAGGCTAGATAAGTAAAAACAAGTGCACACTTAACAGTCTCCAAGGCCAGATGCATTGAATGTTGGCTTAGCTAATTGTGTCTGATAAGACAGACCACAAAGATCAACTGATTGCTGGTTATAAATAATGGTGCCGACACAGTACTCTAATGTGTTTCCGAAATCTAACATTACCAACGAGTTAGAACTCCTTTCTTGTTAACACCCTATATGTATGATGTGTATGACGTTTCGAAACTCATAATTGTCCACTTACATCAGCAGCTTCAAACTTGGGCAGCATGACACACGTGCTTCCAGCATACATGGGAGCCACCAAAGCATTCACTATGCCATGTGTGTGATGCAGAGGCAATGTGTGGAGCACAGCATCTGACGAGCTGAATTCCCATGCACTGATTATGGCCAAAGCTTGGACAAACAGGTTGTTGTGGGTTGTGACGACACCCTTAGGTGGTCCCGTAGTGCCACTGGTGTACAGTATTTGTGCATCCTTGTGTTTTAGTCGCTTCCACTCTTCCATTTTCTGCAAAAAGATTTAAGTGTCAGCTATACACTACAAAGTGTCCACACTATATCTACCTGTTTCGATGCTGTGTACGTTTCTTTTTTCACCTCTTCGCCGAGTACCACCAAAGGTAAATCTAGTTCTCTTGCTATAGGCTGCAAATGGTCAGCATATGTTTTTGTGCTCACGAGGAGCGAGCTCTGAGAATCTCTAATGTAATACTCTAGGACTGAACGCGGTAAATTCCAGTACAGCGGCACGGCAACATTACCACCCAACCAGCAGGCCCACTGAGCAATAACGTAAGATGCTGCATTAGGACACAGGAACGATATCCGCTCTTTCGTGGAGCCCTTAAGCACGTCGTCAATGTGCGCCTGCAACGTAGTACTACTAGCCAAAAGGTTCGAATACGTATAGGTTCCTTCGACATCCACTAGTGCCAATCGATCTTGATATGAGGCAGCTCTATTAAATATGGACTCAAAAGGTGGCGGGAAACTATGCAGGGACCGTCGGGGCAATCGCACACGGTGCAGTAGAGCAGCTCGAACTTTTCCTAGCGCTAGAGTCATCGTAGGAACATACATATAAGTTTTCTCAGAATCAGGTCCGCCCCAACGTCTACGAAATGAATGAGTACATATACTCTGAACAGAGCTTTCTATAGAGGAGCCATGAGAGAAACTTTAGACCTGCACCGCGCCATTACACCATGTCAGATAATGAAGAATGCCTCATTTAATCAGCAGTTTCGCAAACGTAAACTTTGTGCTAAAATGGTGAAAATCACGTTTTTAAATCATAAACGGTATGTGTCTATATTTAGCATCGACTCATACCAAAGTACGTGCAAGTATATGCGCCCCTTACCTCCTTAAAAAGAAAAAAAGAAAAGCAAGCTGGGCTGTACGAAGACGAAAGCTATTTGTTGTGGCTAAAGCAGCTGAAGTCCCCAGATTTTTTTTTTCGTTTTTTTTCTGTTAGACATTTGGATTGCTTTGCCGAGCGCATTAATTACGAAGCCTTGACCGGCCGGTAATGTAGGCTCGTAACACCGACTGTACGATTACAATGAAATGTACGACTACAATGAGCCACAAGAGAAAGTGAAGTACGAAAAACGAGATGACTGATGCTCTCGCGCTGTGGTCCCTAGATGTTCCTGTAATACCCATTCTTTCTGATGCTGGCTTAATTACTGAATCCAGAATTCGCAAATATACTTACTTCAAGATTCCATGAAACCAGTTCAAGAATATGGCCCCTTTCTTTGGGTGGTCCTCTAACTAGGCCAAGCCATGCAAACGCAGACAGCTTACGTGTCTCGATCAACGAGACGGGCAGCTGGTCATGCGACTGATTGCTCTACCAGCGCACTGGCTCTACACCCCTGCTTTTTTTTTCTCTCTCTCTCTGAGGGAGCACAAACGTTTTGGTACCAAGTCTACAACGGGCAAGCACACAAAGACGAACTTCAAAGTAGACCTCGTGACTCACCGAATCGCAAGTGCTTAATTACAGTTGCTAAGCTCCAATTCAAGAGCTGCAATTGTGTACTACTGAAGGCACATGCTGCAATTGTGTACTACTGAAGGCACATTGAACACACAGCTTCGTCATCCACGCCTACATATGCTTGCTGAACATTCAGCATACCACAGCAAAGTGTAGTGTCATTTCCTGAAGTCTCATAGCACCAATTACCGACAGTACAAATATTTTTATTAAAACAGTTCTCAAAGGAATGTGACCAATCAAGCTTTCACAGTAGTATGTACTTTTCCTGGCTTGCAGAGTGAAAAGGAAGAAAAAAGAAAAAGAAAACACTCACATAATTTGTTCAACTAAAAACGAGCAGGCAGTAACAAAAATCAGTCATACTTGCTGACTAGTAAGCTTTAACAGCCCATTTTCTCACAAAATGAAGTAGTTGACCATATATGCAACAACCACGAGTAAAAGTTGTTCGGTAAAAAAGTCACAACTAGGTACGTATAACAGGTTATAAATTGATTATAGATGATTCTTCAGCCCTGTAAAGTTAAAAAACAAAATATTTAATTCAAAGAGATCTATGGTATAATTCTATTCAAAAGTACATGCACCAGGACAATATAACTCAATGAACTGCACTTAAATGAAGAGTAGAAATTTCCTTTTACAACATATTCACTTTACTAGTAGCCATGCCTCTTTAGGGCCATAGGCAATAGCTTCACAAAACCCGAATGTTTGCACACACATGAACAACAATTAAGAAACAATAGTAGCTTGCACTAGTTGACGATTCAAAATGAACATGTTTGCAAAGTGCAAATGGAATGAGGGCAGAGGTGCCTGTGCTGTGTCTTCACTTCTACCCTTGTTCTGTTTGCACAGTGCAAACATGCCGAAGTTGAGAAAGTAGTTGGTGCTACAAATAAAGATATTGAATATGCAAGCCAAAACAAACGAAGGTTTTCAAAGGTGCATTCCACATATTCATCCTCCTGAAAAGCCAAAGTGACAGTGGCATTCTACTTCTGAGCGTGAAATTACACATTGCATTCTCAGTCACATATTGATGTAGAGTGGCATACTGATACATTTGTGTTTCGAGCTGAATTGCAAAATAAAGTTGCCAGGAGGGCAAATTTAATCTCAAGCTACCCGCTATGGTGTCCTTCACAAAAAAATTGTGGTTTCAGGACATTGAATACAATATGCTATAACTAAGTAAAACACACTAAGTAAAACATGCTAAGTAAAGCATTCACAATAAATATAAGTTCACCGAGTTGAGCAGTGCTTTATCATGGCTTAAGCCAACTTGAGCAATTCCTATCTTGTAAAGCACTCACTGTATCAAAACAGAATGTAGTAGCTTCACAAATTTTTCTTTTATCACTCTGCTATGGTTTCTAGGCAGCGGTGCTCTAGATGTGGCACTACATTCATTCAACAATGTGTATAGTTCCACAGCAATCCATGAAGGTGGGCTTCTTAGTAGGCCTGTATACCGACCAAAGAGATTTCCCTGAAAGATGTTCTTGCAAATTCGCTGCAAAGAATAGAATAAATTGTATTAAAAAAACAAACCCTCAGTTAAGGAGGCTACCACAATTGCACACAGACCATGCAGCTCTCCGAAGATAGCATGAATTTACAAAATTTTTTGTCGCAGGAGGTCTATAGTCTCTACAATGTTCAGGCAAGTACAACATTACCTTTTTAACTAAGGCTAAGTTATCAGCCTGCAATTATGTATTGATAGATTGCATGAATCATCATAGAACCTCTGGTTTTAGTCATAGATGCAGGTTCTTAATGTATTGGTGCTCCAACATGAAAGCTTTGATGACGTCAAAGCACCAATGTCTCGTGGTGGCTAAGTTGATTTGAAGTGATAAATGCACTACCGGAACGTTACTGGCCTTTGTGCGCGTATAACGAAAGAGCCTGCATGCAATGTGCAGATTAAATTAAAATGTCGTCACACACTGCCTCCCACAAGCTTTGTGCACCAATATGATGGTTTCAGTAATGTCAATGCAAGCCATCTATTACACAAGTAACTATATACGCATGCAGTGCACAAGAAGCCAATCACTAAAGCTAGCAGTGCATTCTTGTGGTGTCAGTAAACAAATCTCCACAAACAGAAATGTGGAAGTAAATATGTATTCACCTGTAGATTGTCATTGAGCACAGCAGGGTCACACTGACCCTGTGCATTACAGCGGCCAGCACAGTCGAAGAAATCACAGTCTTTGTCGGCTCTGCAGTGTCCTGCATTGGCAATGTTCGCTTGCACGGTTGAATGCAGCGCAAAAGCATCCAAGTCGAGCATCTTGACCAGACCTTTTACATCAACACCGAAATGGCTTGATTTCATGTCACACTGGTGAATTTCTTCCCCCATCACACTCTCCAGCACATCCACAGTCTTTAATATACGTAGCGCTATCATGGCACGATCCTTGAAGCTAAAAGCAGAGATATCGCTACGCTCTGGCGACCAACGCGTTTCCAACGGCGACAAGAACTCTACAGCATATGCATGACCACATGTCCCGAATATTTTTGGGACCACATCCAGGCCCTGAAGGGCCAAGTTAAACAGGTACTCTGTTTGTTGCAGCAGAGCGTAAATACTGTTCATTTCAGCAATGCTAAACCGTTTACCATAAAATGACTCGACCCACGTGAAATTGCGCCTAAAAATATAGTTGATCTGCAGGTTAACCATACGGATAAAAGTGTCATTGTCTGGATAATGACTGTTTCTGCTTCTGTCCGTCCAGTAGACAGGTTCTAAAGCGGTAATCAGCCGTTTTTTAGCTTTTACAACAATAGGTTCGAAGTTCCACAGTGCAGTGAAAACAATGTCTTTGCCGATGTGCTGAGTCTGACATTGGATCTTTGACAACTCTCGCGCACAGAACTGGGCGCAAAGGTTGCCGGATATCTCCCCTTTTCTGTAGGCATCGCACTGGAAAAGAGAGAAAAAAAAAAAAGGACGTTGGCGGCCATTCAAGAGTGTTGTACTAAGTGATAACGAAAAACTAGGCGGCTTAGAATAGATTCGTGGTTTACAGCGCAAAAGGACATAGAGGAGCAATAAAAGGATGTAACGAGCGCTGTCTTGCCTTTTTCTTACTCGTCACCGGCCCTTTGCGCTGCGAACAACCTATGCACGTTATACTTTGTACTCACGAGATTGTCCAGGAAGGCTTCTATATCGGAGTTCATACATCCCGGATAAGAGAGTTGAACTAGAAAAAACAGCACACCAACAAATATAAAGCAGCAAAGTATTTTTGCAGCTTTTGCCGATCGTCGTGATCTGAATATGTACTGAAATGCCTTCATGAACAAAGCATAATTATGCACGTTTCGTCAGAACATAATAGCGACCACTTCTCTGACATACCGGACTACTGTACATTAAATACGTGCGGAAATAATCGATGCCAAGACTGCCTCCAGCGATGCCGCGACCATATTGAAATCGCAGATGCGCCCCCGCTCGTCTAGAACGGAAAGCAAGCCAAAGTCGTGGGAGCGGCCGCAGCTCTAGGGCGCAAAGTTTGAACATGAAGAAATGTCCCCTCTTACATATTCTGAAGCGATCCACGCCAGGAGCGTAGGCAGAAAACTTTTCGGGGGGAGGGGGGTAATCATACTTTATGGGTAATCATACTTTATATATATATATATATATATATATATATATATATATATATATATATATATGAAGGTATGGGATACGGCACAACGGGAGCGTTGTCAACAAGGATAAATATATTTATTTCCCAAGAGTTTTGGGAGGGGTCCTCACATGAACTACCAAACTTCGTTGCTGCCGCGTCCCTCTCGCCTTGAACGATGTTTGCGAGAGTGAGAGGGAACTAAAAAAAGGAAAGAAAAAAAACAAAAAGGGCGAAGAAAAAAGACGAAAAAAAAGAAAGAAAAGAAAGAAAGTAAAAAAGAGGAAGAACCACTGTCGACACTGAAAACGAAACCAACTGTCCGTGTACGTCCACATACGGTTCTTATGTGCTGTTCAGTTCTCAACGTGTGTCGGGCCACCCAAGATTGTCGCCGCGGTGGCGGGAGGGTCCGTGACGGCGTGCGTAAAGAAAGGGTTTCCCCTTAATGGGTCGGTCGGCTCTTTACCTTTAATCTTCGTCCGTTTCCCTTCAATGGTCATCAAGTGGTAGGCGAACGTAAACACTTTGTATGTGCATGTGGAAAAAAGAAAAAAAGGAAGAAAAAAAAGGAAAGAAAAAAAGAAGAAAAACAAAAAAACAAGAAAGGACAGTGTACACGTACGAGTCAGTCAGAAAAAAGCATGGTCTCCAGCTATCAATCTTTGTCACCAATTTCCTCCTGGCTTACTTCTCGGAGGCAGTTGAGTTTTCCGGGGTCCTCGTTGATGCCGGCTACTAATGTTCGAAATTTGAAAATAAAATATGCCTCACGCTGTTCGCGCTCGCGCCTGTTTGAGAAACCGGACTGCAAAAGAGCTACGCTGATATTTTCAAAACTGTGGTTTGGCAGGCGCAGATGTCTAGATAAAGGTAGCTTCGGCAGTGAAGGGCCGTGGTACCGGTGATTATTGAACCGCAGCCGAAATGGCGTGTCTGTTTGGCCGATATATTCTTGTCCGCAGGCGTTTCAATGTAGCATGTATATTACGTTAGTGGAGTCACCATTAAGGCTTTCAGTTATGCAGAATTTGAAATCCGAGAAGTTCGCTTTGGATTCACATGTTGTGACCATCTGTGGGCATATATATATATATATATATATATATATATAATATATATATATATATATATATATATATATATATTATATAATATATATATATATATATATATATATATATATATATATATATATATATATATATATATATATATATATATATATATATATATATATATATCGCTCCTATCGAAACGCAACCAACGCTGCCGGGATCAAACCCGGCACCTTCGGGTCAGCAGCCGAGCATCGTAACTGCTGCACCACTGCAGTGGACTCCACTCATATGAGCGAAAGAAGCAGCGCTCACACAGATACCATTATTATAAGAAGTTGATAAAACTAGTAATACCAGAGTCTGGTAATACGCGCGAAGATTTTTTTTTTTTTCAACCTGAACATTCTGACATCGTTAGCTGTACGTGTCTTTAAAAGGTCCCACACGTAAAGTCAATAAGTCTATGGAGGTTTACAAATTTACAACAAGCAAGCAATCGGCAAAGAAAATATGTTAGATTGAAGCCCCTGCTAGCTGCGTAATATCTCAAAATTCGTCCAGTTAAAGTCCGGATATTGTGGGCGAGGAGTTACGGAGTCGGTCTCGATCAATCTCGCGTCGCTCGTGTGTTAAGCAGGACGCCGCCACGCTCCTCCGTAGGCGCGCGCACAAGAAGGGTGGGGGGGGGGGGGGGGGGTGTTGCTCTCCATCTCCGTCACCTGAAGGTGGGCTTCAAGCACAGTTGCGGAGTTGCCACTCCGTAATGGGAATAACTTCAGAATTATTCCACATTTTCGTGACACCGGAATGGAATGACGACGACATTTGGGGGAGTGGAATGGGAATAGCACCTTATGCGTGGAATGGAATTGGAAGAGAATAACGTCTTTTTTTTTTTTCGAAAATGGAGCACGTTTTCATCTACGCACTGTTTTCAAACTTCAATTATCAATAATTCAGAGCCTCGAATATAACAACAACAAAGCAGCCATTTTAAAAGGGCGTAACTGATTACAAGCGCAGTAAATTTATGAGCAACGTGCCTACTACAATTGTGTCCTTATACAGACTGTGTTGCCCCAAAGTTTGTCTGTTCTTTGCGTAACCGCGGCTCTATGCCGTCAGTATCCTCAGTGCGGAGCTACGACGATGGCATACCCCCCCCCCCCCCTCCCCACTACGCCTTGCGATTTTTTTTCCCCTTAGCGGCACCCAGCCGCTTGCTGTCTCCTCCCCACCCTTCAATTTATTTTTGCTTCTGTCGCCGTCGGCGACTAAACGCATATTTGAAAAAGCGCTTCCCCAAGTCGTGATCAGCACCGACGCAGACGCGATGCTTGTGTTCACTCCAAGCTTTATACACCAGCATGTCCGCTATCGCACCTCATACTACACCCTCACCCCTTTTTCAAAACTGTCCCTCCTATCTAGATTCATGGGCGCCTTTGCGAGAAACTGCACGAGATATTAAAGGCAAAACATTTCTTTCCGTACAGCACGCGCGTTTAGCATCTATCTATCTATTATCTATCTATCTATCTATCTATCTATCTATTATCTATCTATCTATCTATCTATCTATCTATCTATCTATCTATCTATCTATCTATCTATCTATCTATCTATCTATCTATCTATCTATCTATCTATCTATCTATCTATCTATCTATCTATCTATCTATCTATCTATCTATCTATCTATCTATCTATCTATCTAACTGACACTCTCGTGGCCACTTCCCTATAGCTTAGTATACATTGGAAGGGGCATAGGAGGAGAAGAGCGTATGATGAACACGATTAACACGTATTGGTATGAATCGGTTACTTGCATGACTCGTACGTCATGAAACCCTTTTCACCAGTCAATTGCGGGGCACATACTTGCATAATATGGACTGGTAGTAGGGTATGCGTACCAGGTGATTCTCAGTCTAAGTCGACCCAGAGACAGCAATTTTATTTTCTAAAAATCTTAATGCGATAGCGTTAAGGAGCTTGTGTTGCCGAAATGCGGTAGCGGCGCCAACGTTGTTGACCATGAACAAAAACTACCGATGGAAGCAAAGGACAAAAATAAAGGCTTGAGCTGGAATCTGACCCAGGTACGTATTCTGCATGATAGTGAAGTCTTCTACGACAGAGCTACGCCAATGCCTAAAACTGCTTTACAAAGAAACTCGACGAAGTGTCCTGTGGGTTACGCGAAATTTTGTTGCACTACCTTATTAACAATGTAATAAACATTCACTCTACAGGATGCATGTAGTCAAGCGTTGCTCGAATCCACGGACATCTACTTTTGACTCTTCGCACTGTGGCGAACGAGCGCTTAATTTGGATAAAAGAGAGATTGCCCTAACTAGAGTGCCAACGTTATGTCGGACCATGATATATACGCAATAGAACGCAAATTAAAGAGGTTGAAACCATCCGAATTCTGGGGACCCACTTCAATAATCGAGGCAACAACTCATTTGCTTCACATAAACTAAAAACGTCCTGCCTCCAAATCTCTCGCATGATTAGTCGGGTGGCTAACCGATGACGAGGGATGAAAGAACACACCATAATGCGACTCATTCAGGCATTTTTTTTTTCAGTCGCATAATCTATAGCTTTCCTTACCTGAGGGTCTTGAAAGCAGACGAGCAAAAAATAGACAGAGTGATACGTATGACTCTTCAAGAAGGCTCTGAACCTTCCCCCGTGGACACTCTAGAAACGTCTGCTTCAAATGGGGCTCCACAATACCGTATCAGAACTATTCCATGCACACCACACGAATCAAGCCATGTGCCTCGCCATCACTAAAACGGGACGGAAAACACTATCAGAACATGGCATTGAAGTTCCCATTGAGAGAAGGGAAAACAACGTATCTCATATGAATGGAGGCAGGACTTCATCATCAAACCACTACCGCAACATGCATCCTCAGTTCCACGAACATCGACGTCGATCACGAGCAAATGTTCACGACAACTACTCAGATACTGAGGGTGCCTTCTTTGTCGATGCAGCTGAACCAGTGAACGGCAAATATACAGCATCATTCATTAATATTCAAATATATAAGCGTCATTCATCGTGGAAAGCAGGTTGATTGTATATCAGCCCAGGACACAGACACAACTATAGTATGGAAGAAGTAGGAATTGCCCTCGCCCTACGAAACCCAAGGTCCACCTTCGTTCTAACAGATTAAAAAGCAGCCTACCGAAATTGTTGTAAAGGCTACATTGGCCCCATTGCGAATCGACTTCTTACTCAACTCTCGCCTTCACGCTCACAGGGCGAATGGAAACAGCTGATATGCATAGCCGGCCACTGCGGAGTTAGAGGCAATGAGCTCGCCTATGCCTCGACCCGACAATTACTCTTCCGGACCTCCACCTTCGGCTATGCGTATGGACCCGCTCCTAACCTACACAGATATTCTAGAACATCTAAGACTCGAAAGACAGAAACTTCCGCCCCCGGGGCTAAAGCTAAGTAAAGATTCTCAGGTAGCGTTGCGTCGCCTGCAGACCTTGTCTTACCTCAGACCATACATACTGTCCAAGATAGATCCAGACAAGCACGCACCACAATGCAGATTCTGCGTCAATAAAACAGCCACCCTGTACCACATTAAATTTTACGAATGACCGCATCGCCAAGTGGCCAGCATGCAAGCTGCATTCCGCTTGCATGCGAAGTGGGAAAGAAGGGCTTCCACGGC